AAGAGCAAGTAGAACCAGTTTGAACCAGTTCTTGTGACAATTCCCTGTTGGTCTTTTGTGTCTCTGCATGTTTTGTAAGCAGAAGTACTGACTGTGTTTGTTTTGCTTACTTTTTGAAGATATAAACAGCTAGGAGATAGAAATAGTGTCTCCTTTCAGAGCAAGGGGTAAGCCTTGTATAGTGCCCACAAGATTCTGGTTCTGTGAGTTCAGAGTGCCGCTCCTGTAACTACAGGTGAAGATAATTGTCTTGCCTTGTGATGAACCAGTGCAAAAGCTTATACTCTGGCTGCTGCTATTGTTGTAATAAACTGCCCTTTGCCTGTGACCGGGGAGTTGCATGTCTTCCTACCAGCATCCTGAAACTGGCTAACTAACCTGTTAGTTTGCATACAGGGTAAAATCTCAGACCCTTCACAGTTCTTGGCAAGAAGGTAAACTTTTTTAAGTGCAATGTCTCATTCAATACTCAAAAGATGGTATGTGTGGTTCATTTAGTCAGAACTTATATTAACCTAATTATAAAACACAGATTTTAGTTTTCATGCTAACTATCAATCTGTGCAAACTCCTCTCCAGTCTTGAGTAAGCTTTTTTCTTCCCTACTCTTGCCTTTCCTTGGCTGTGAGCTGGCAGGTAGTTATAACTGACTTCCTAGCTATAACTTAATTTGGAAGCGTCTCGGATTATAAGTACAGAAGCAAACGATTCCATTGTCAAGTGGAATTGACTACTGTGGTAACACTGATGGACAGATGTGAGGACTTGGGTTTGAACTGGAAGCATAGGAGTTGAGATGTTAACAAAAGCAACAGGAGAGTTGCTAGTAGTAATAGGGAAAATAATTCATTCAGTTTTGCTCAAGGACAATTTAAGTGCTGGTAGGATAGTTCAACAACTTACTGTGCTATGTATCTATTGCACAAAATAGATCACTGAAAATCTGGCCCAGAGCCTCAGAAGATAGGTGTAGGCTACATATTGAGTTATACACACTGGCATAGTTAGGTAGCATTATAAAGAGATGGAGAAGCAAAGAAAAAGCATTCAGAACCTGATAAAATTCTATTTGTAAAGTTATAGCAGGAGGCAGAGGGACAAATCACAAATCAGGAAGAAGATTAGGAGAGAACCAGATTACCCAAGCCAAAGTCAGAAAGTAGCAAGGAATGATTTATACACATCAAATTGTTAATAAGTTGAAATTGTGAAGATAAGTAGTAAGCATGCAATTCTTCGCTGCTTTATTCCAATGCAGGGCAATAAAAAGAGGGGGATGAATAAAGAATGAAGTATAATTTTATTTTCCTTAGAAGTAATTGTCTTATGCTTGTGGGCTGAAGAAACAAATGCACTCAGTAACTGAGGATGCAAGAAAAAGATGGGGGTGTAAAGGGAATCTGAGAGGTTAGCTGATAGAAATGTAAAAGAATAGAGAATTGAAGATTAGATTTTTGGGTGCAGGATCACGGAGATAATAGCTTTGAAGAGTAAGATGATACTTAGTGGGTGGTGGGGAATAAAGATTAGAAAGATGGGTTAACTGAGGCAGAAGCTGATTAATCTTATGAAAGAAGTCCAGAGGTAGGCAGATAAGGGTTTGTGTGGTGGTTCCAAGTCATGAGGGACCTTGAGTCATCCTGTTTTTTGCTTCATCATCCTAGTTTATGGCTTCTGTCTCCATGGCTCAAGATAGCTGCTGGGTCTGTAGCCATCACTTCCACATTCACAGGTTAGAGAGAGAGGAAAGGCAGAAAGGCAAAACAAAGGTCCCTTTCAGATGCACGGAGTTCTTTAGGAAATCTTGCTGGAAGTGTCATTAAGTTTCTCTTACACATATCTGGTCAGAGCATACATTAGTACGCTGATCCACAAGAGCGGCTGGAAAATGTTCTCTTTATACTCAGTGTGACCTGAGAAAAATCGGTGTTCTTTCACTAAAAAAAGGAAGGGAAAGTGATATTGGTGTAGGCAATTGTATGCCATAAACATTGTGATGAGGCAAGTAATTTTTGTCACTTTTTCTAGCAACTCTGCTTACCAGGAAAAGAAAGTGCTTTAACCAGAGTTAAGATTGAGTGGCAGTAACCAATAAGGAAGTGAGCAATTCTAGGATACAAGCACAAATACTGCTTGAAGTCCTGATACTGAGGTCCAGGCAGATGGAATGAAAAAGAACTTGCCTTCAAGGGCCTGGGGAGCTCAATGAGGGTGAAAGAGCTAGTTGAACAAAGAAGAAAGGACTGGAAAAGTGGAAAGAGGCTTTGATTAGGAGAGGAAATTTTAACTCTACGGAAGTAAGGCAATTATAAATGCTCAGAGTCTGGGGTGTGGCTGTACTTAGCTAGAATGGAAAATTAGGTTATTACATTGATATGCTGGAGTTATGGAAACATGGCTAGGGGCATCCTTGAAAAGGATGTCAGATCCAAGTGGAAAGAAACACTGACCTGGAGACTGAACGCCAAGTCATTAAATCCAGCAGTTAACTGTATAGACAGGCTGGTGTCAATGTATGGATTGGCCGCCAATTAAAAAAGGTTTGGGTATCCCAGGGAAATAGTAGCAACAGCCATTTATGGAACACTTGCTCTGCAGCAATTAACAAACTGTATTTTTTTAATATAAAATACTTTTTTAAGCAAAATTATTTTGGAATAATTTTCAAGTTACATAAAATTGTAAATCCGCGACTTCCTCTGCTCCCTTCATCCAGGTTCCTCTAACAGTGAACATCTTACATGTCAGCACCTTTGGCACTGGTCAAAACTAGGAAATGAACATGGGTACAATACATATTAACTGAACTAAACCTTACTGAATTTTCAGTTTTTCCATCGAGGTCCTTGGAGTATTTAATGCAAGACAGCATACCATCCTGTGTTCTCCCCGGACCTGTTTGGCTCATTCTCGTTTATTCATGACCTTGACATTTTTGGGAGATTTTTTTTTTTTTAAATTTTTCGGATGTCCGTCATCTTTGTCATTTTCTCATGATTATATGGGGCTTATGTATTTTTGAGAAAACCAGAGCTGATGTGTTCTAGTCACAGCATCCTGTTAGAGAGAACATACTATCATGGTTATCATTCGTGGTATTAGCCTTAACTACTTGATAAAAGGAGTGCTTGCTTGATTTTACAATATAAACTTAGTACTTTTTCTCCTCTGTGCACTTTGGAAGCAATTTATTGATGCAGCTCACATTCCAGGGGAAGAGTATTAAGCTTCATCTTTTGTTGGAAGGTGTAGTATCTACAAATACTTTGGATTCTTCTGCAAGGGAAATTTTCCCCTTTGTTCTCATTTAGTCAATCATTTATTTTTATCGGGATGCAAATTTTCCTATTGGATTATAATCTAATGCCGTCACTGTTGTGTTGCTCAAATTGTTCCAGTTTTGGCCATAGGGAACTATTTTTGCATAATAAACATAAATTACTTAAATAATTTACTGAGTCTCCCGCCAAACCAGTGAGGCAGGTATTACTGTTATCCTTAGTTTTTGGAAAAGGAGACACAGGCTCAGAGAAAGAAATCTTCCCAACACATTCATCTCATGTGTTGATGCCAGGAGTGAGAGTCCATACTGTGCATTAGTGTTGTGATGTTGTTGTGCATTAGTGTGCATTAGTGTTGTGATGCTGCTCTCAAAGGGAAAGGAAGCTCCACAAATGTCAGAGTGATGGTCTCCTTTTATTGCACATTTTACTTTCAGAGGTGAGGGAAGACTTCGAGGGGATTCATCATAAAGGTAAATGTAGCGTGGACTGGCTCCCTACAGAACAGTATGGAAAGAACCACGAATGGTCAGAACTGTACCTGGTCCCAGGTGGGAGAAGAGATGAGCTAACAAAGGAAAGAGAAGGAATAATAGGTGTGAAGGGACAAAAAGGGTGTAGTCAGTGTAGTTGCTGGGTCACAATCTGCCTGTGATGGTAAGAAGGGAGTTAAGTGAATTTCAATAAAAATGAGGTGGAAAATCAGATTTCAGGAGATGAAAAACTGTTAAAGGTTTAAAACGTAGTAAGGGAAGTAGGATGAAGGTCTTTTCCCACAGGGAATCTAAGAGAAGGAGAGAAAAGACTCTGGAGAGGGGAAATACACAGGCCAAATGCACAGGAAGTGTAAAGGCAGGGTGTTAGTGATGGCATTCAGGAAACCTGTCCTCACATACTGGAGGAGTATGAGACCAAGACTGGTGGCATTGCTGGGGTGAAGGTACAGACACATTTAGGATGTGTGTGTTACAGGGTTTTGATGGTCTCTACTATAACTGGAAAAAAGTTCATCTGCAGACACTGGGAGAAAAATGGGAGGTATTACCTAACCTGTGAGTAGCTAACATCTTGACATTAGTGTTTGGCCGACTTGGTGAAAAGAGGACTGGTTACTGAGTGAAAGCAGAGATCAAAAATACAGTCACCTGTATTTTTACTTGATTCAAATGATTAAAACTGAGTATTTTTTATAAATCTTAGATAAAAGACTAAGATGATTTGTCTTTCTAAAGTGGTATGTTTATACCGGTTTGAGAAAAATTCCTAATGATTATAAAGGATAAACATAAAACTAATGTAAATATAATTATTAGAAAGTTTTCTTTACCCAAGTCTAAACTGCAGAATTTTTGGTGATAATGTTTCTAATCTAAGCAGAAAATATAAGTAAAATGGGTCATTTTCAGAATTGCTCCTAAGTACTCTTAATACTGAAATATTACCTGTTAAATTGGAATTTGGATTTCTATCTGAGGTACTAATGCACTGCATCTAGAACACTGATAATACAAAGTTTAAAAGAATGGTCAATTTCAGAATCATTTTAAAATATGAAGTAACTGGGAATGTGTGTCTTATACTCATGTAAAGGATAAAATATCCAGGTGAAGTTTAGAAGTTTTGAATTAGTGACTTAATGTATACTTAAACAGTTGCCTTCATATAACAAAGTTATAATACTCATTTATAATAAACACTTATTTCCTTTATATGATTCAGAAAAAAATTTACATTAACATGTTATTCATACTTGGTGATTACTTTATTACCATACATGTATACAGTTTGGTTTTATAAGGATATAAATTATTTTAAACAAAATGTATGCATGGTATATGTAAGCAGTAACATATTGAAGAAAAAACCCATGAAAACATTTATCTCAAGTATAGTAATACTGAAAACACTAGTTGTGCATAGCAATGATCCAAAGTTTCATAATACATTAGGACACTGGTAAATCTTCAGGTAAAGAACAATCTGGGATAGGAAGAGCTTGAATAAGACATATCCTTGGAAGTGCACACCATGTAAAAATAAGCCCCTCAATATAACAGCACACAAGGCCTTCAGTATTTGGCACTTAGCAATACAGACAAAGGTATATTTGGTTTAATGTGATTTTATTGTTCTTAGGTAAATTTTAATTATATAGATAAAAATATACAATATTGCTTTAAAAATTTTACTTTTGTATATAGAATTGTCATTATCTTCACAATTTACAAAAGCCTAAAATAATTCACCCAAATATGTGAAACTATGTGAGAGAAACTAACAAACAAAAATGGTTTATGAAGACTTCTTAAAAAAAAAAAAAGGTTTAAATGGATCATTAATCTAGAGCACTGATCTTAAATCTTTCAGTGACTACCTCATTTTGGAAACACATGAAATGTTTTAGACAAATTTATTTCAACACTTAAATTGATTCTATAGATTGAAAGTTTTGACTGGATATACATAGAAATGACACTTTGTCAAAGCCACTTTTATTTACATTATTTACTGGAAAAAGAAAATGAAAAAAAAAAAACATTTTAATAGTAATCTTAGGTCAGGATTCCATCATATCATATTTGACTAAAAGAATGGTGGCACTCTTAAATTACCTGAGGACAGTAAAGTTAGGATGATTATTAGCCTTACCAATAAGAAAGGTCATAGCACAGAAACAGCCTAATGTTTGAAAATAAGCTAAGTCTTTTTCTCACACCAGCTGAGAAGCAATTGAAATCATTTTCTGGTATCTTAAAAAGACAGTGATAAAATATGTAAAACGCAAATTATGTGCAAATATTTTTAAATGAAAGATTGAAAATATTTTACAAATAATTTGTTCATTATAAACTACACAATGCACCATTCATTTAACTCAATACTTTGCACCAGACATTGCTATTATCAATCTTAAAACTCCTCAAATATGAGAAAAACAAATAGCTTCCACTGTACTAAGTGAAATTTATAGTTAACAGTATATCGAAAATCTGCTTTAGATCTAAAATGATTTAAAAGAATTTATACACATTGAAATGGTTATTTTCAATGCAAACTGATAAACATGGTTGCATTTAACACCAGATTTTTTTGTACCACATTGAACTATCATGCTGGAGTTTTTAGTAAAGATCAATGGATGGTATATTCCTTTCTTTTAAAAACTTAATTTTGCGCTGCTGTCTTGAAAATTGAGAAAGACAATTTACTTACACATTTTTTCAACATAAGGCACATAGCAACATTGAAAATCTAACAGCTAGATTATGTAATAAATATCTTTTTGATTATTACTTGTCCTTTACCTGAAGAAAGTGGGTGAGTAGTGCAGTTAAAACATGCCTGGGTTAATAAAAATGAATGTAAGAAAAAAATTTGTGCACAGAATGTTATTAATTTAAAAGGAATATATTTTACGTAAAATATACATCCTGCAGTGTATGTAATACATAGAAATTGTGAGGCAGGCACTTAACAATGGAGGAAAGCAAGGATATTATTTTTTTTACATAAGCACCAAGCCACTTAATCTGAGATAGAAGTTCAAAAGGCAAGTTTTTACTCTGACAAATAATTCCAACAGAAAATTCTCTTACTTGAGCGTTCTAAAGTTGCCCTGAATAAGCTGTGTCTGTGTTGTGGTGTTTATTAGCATGATGTGAAATGTACACAGTCTCTCTCTCCTCTGACAGCACTGCTGTTTGGATGACTAAAATTCTCAAAAAGACATATACTTAAACGTCCTCTTGTAAAAACATTGAAATTGCATTTAGAATAACATCACGAATGTCTTTGCCTCCTCATGAACTTGCTGATGCCCGACATAGACAGTTCCATTACTCTTTAATCTTTAGCAAACTAACTTACTGAAGACCAGGGTTAAAACTGGGCTCCGTGTGTTACAGGAATCCACTGGATGTCAAATCAGGGAAAGGTCTAGCTTCTGAAGGATGATGAAGGGGTTGAAGATGTGGGGTAGACTGAGGGTTATTTAATTCAGCTGGGTAGGTTTCATTTAAAACGCTTCCATTCTGAAACTGAAAATGAAAATAGCAATGCAACTCGTTAGATCTTTCAAACTCCTCAAGCCATAAGTAATGAAATGTATTTTAAAATTTTTTACCTTGAATGCTGTTAAATTTCAAATTCCTTTGGTTCTGCTAAGTTTTAAATCACTCAGCAAAGACAATTTACATACATGTTTGTAACCATTTGCTTTCTCTGCTACAGATGAGTAATATAATACTCCTTTTAGATTTGGCATTTCATTTCTTAGGAAAGTACTTTACCAGTGAGTTGCCTTTGGTGTGGGCAAAGTAAGGATCAACAGGACAAAGGGTGCCAAGTCATACCAAAATTAGATAAATGCTTGCTTTGTTTGACCAATTTCTAGATACCAATGAATGAATTCTATACAAGACTATTACACTGGACTGCAGATACTTCCTGAAACGCATAACGAGTAAAATAATCTGAACCAATTTCTAAAATGCTTGTAATTAATGAGTACCACTGAAATTCATCTCATTATCTGCTACTGGAAAATAGAAGATATGGAAACATAGTCTTAATGAAAGTTGTAGAAACTTTCTAGCATCAAAGAAACAATTCGTGCTCACGCGAACACTATAGATAAGAGTAAAATCAATCAATAACGTAAAAGATTATGACTCATGTCTGCAATGCAGAAATAATCTCTGAAAGGGTTTATTCAGTTTGAGAAAACTCTCACCTTGTTTAAAAATGCCTGTGGGCCAGGCATGGCTGGATTGTACTGCATCTGAGCCACATGGCCGTGCTGAGGTTCTGACTGGCACTGATACATTGACACAGCTCCGGCATAACATGTCTGAGGCGTTATCACAGTTGCCTGTGGATTTAGTTCATGCTTTCGGTTTTCAGGAACTTGTAAACATGTGACAAAATCTTCTAAATTAGTGGTAGGGTAGGGAGATGGTTCAAAATTCCCTACGGGAAAGTCTAACTGTGTACCCTTGGAATGCTGTGATAACACGGGCTGATTATAGGGAATAAAGTTCTGTGTATAAGGCATAGTATCAATCTCAGATTTGTATGGAAACTCTTGATTGGCCCCAGATAATTCTGAAAAGACATTATACTGTTGTAGGTCTTGCTGAGAACAACCAAAAGGCACAGATTGGTTTGAGTTCCAATTTGTAAACATGCCATTAACTTGCATATGTTTCATTTTCTGACATAATTGCTGCTGCTCCACTGCTACCTGCTTTTGCTCCGCCTGTAAGTGCTCTTGTACCATGCAACTTGAGTTCAGAACCATGGACTGTTGCTGTTGGTAACCCGGACCCACAAAGGTAGACTTATTTAAGGAATCTTGGACGTATGTCAGGATTTCATCTACCTCAATGTTTCTGAAATCATCCTCACTAGAAAAGTCAGGTCTGAAAAATTCTTCATTCTCTTGCATGTGCTTGATATCTTCAAAATCAATGCCTAGGTGTTTCATAATGTTATACAAGTCACTGTTTTTATTATCTTGAAAAAGCCCGGCATGACCTTCAGAGTGTGTTGGGTTCATTTCCTGAGACTGACCGATTTGCTCATGTTTCAGGATACTACCATTTCCTTTTGGTTCAATACTATGTTCATTCATAGATTCATTAAAAAAACTTCTTTCAAAAGGTGCATTACTTGAAGTAGGGTAGAGATAAATAGATTCATCTTGTTGCATCATGGAAGCAAAGAGGGAATTGGGATTGAGAGAGTCCTTATTTAGAGTTGATTTGGTAGCAGAATCTCTTCTAGCACCATTTTTTGACCTTAGGGGCTCCATCATGACAGGAAAAGGGCTGGTTAACTCATACAACACAGCTTCTCCAGTGGCAAACATAAAAGGCAGCTTCATATTTCGTTTTCGTAAATGCTCTGTTCCTTCTTCATCTCTAAAATTGTAAAAGAAAGTGTGCATACATCAGGAAGTTGTATCAAACAATTAAAATAGTAAGCAAAATATACTGCAATTGTATTTGACAGAGGAAACAGAAACATTAGTTTGACCAGACTGTCTGCTGTGTGGTGCTATGAAACTTTTTTAGATATATTAATATTATTCTAGTTACTGGTTACAGCTCCCTGACATCCTGCACAAAATGTAAATTCTGGGTGGTAGAAAAGTTGTAAGATTGACATAAGAATAGTAAAAATTTTGTGTAGCAAAGGAAATCAACATGTATATAAATGTAACTGATAACTGCTCATTGTATTTATAAGAAATTGAGGCACCTAGCTCACAGAAGAAAAATGTCTTAAGATTATTAATAAAAAAATGAGACAATAAATCTTAGTAAACTAAACAATGTAGAAAAAGTACAAACACAAAATACATTAATTTCAAAGAATATAATACCAAAAGCACAATAACTACTGTATTTAATCTCAGAATTAAAAAGGAAATCCATGTAAAAATTTTATCATGCAACTAAAAATATTAAACATCAAAATAAGAGGGTCTATAGTTACAAGTGTAAATGAAGGGAGACAAAAAACTAATAGCTTAAATAGCTTAAATATATAGGTTGTATATATGGAAAAAAAACCTGAAAAACCTCAAATTATACTCAGGCATAATGAATACAAAGCAGATGTACAATAGAAAAAATAAACAGGAAATTGAATCCTTGACAACAGAAATTAAGATAGTCTTCATGTCAATGCAGGCACAAAAAGTATGTGATAAATTTGAACACTCATCCATAATTTACTTTCAGTGAGCTAGAGAGAAGGGAATATTCAATGTAAAACATTAAAGGTTTTTCCTTTGGAATAAGACAAAAATGAAACTAGGTATTTCTATCATACATTGTACTGAGGTTTTAGCCAGGGCTAGAAAGGAAATAAAAGTAAAATGTTTATAAAGATTCAGAAGGTAAGGGGAAAAAAATTACTTACAAACTATACAGTATTATAGCAGAGAAACCTTATTACAATTGATGTTTAAAAATGAACTACAGTAACAAATAATTAGAGCACTACATACACAATTTAAAATAGCATCACAAAACATAAGTATCTAGGAATAAAATTAATTTAAAAATCACTGCTTGCTTAGAAAACTGCAGCTTTTTTTTTTTTTTTAAATTTATTTATTTATTTATTTATTTATTTATTTATTTATACAAGCACTGGATATAGTCAGAAGCGCGGGAGGGTGAGAGAATTCACCAGAGCCAGAGCGGGGAGCAGAGCAGGCAGAAGGACCGAAGTACACTGCTGAGGGGAGCAATGGGCGGCAGGAGAGGTCTGCGCACCATGTGGGACCCTCCTCTGGTGGCTGGGGATCAAACCGGTGCTGCAGAGGCTGCAGGCAGCTTCGCAACCCAGCACTCAACCACTGCGCCACCGGGGAGGCCCGAAAACTGCAGCTTTTAATCTATCATTTGTAAATCTATGAAAAAATAGTTTTCTCTAATTCTCTTGACAGAGCTCTGTGTATTCAGTAAAGTTGATAGAATAAGGCATTCTATCTTAAAGTTAGGAGGCAGCTTGGGTGAAGGATATTAAGGACTAAAAAAATACTGTAAATCTTTGTGCTTACGTCAGAGGTCTCTGTGTCGCAATGATATAGTCAGGTCTTCCATTTTTATAAACTAAGCGAGCATTAGACTGTACCCACGTCCATCGATTGTGTTTGGTGAGAAGCCGGAACACTGTCATGCCACTTTCTCCAGTTTTAATCACTAAAAGAAAATATCACATATTAAAAAACTCTGGTAATAAGTCCAAAAATATGTCAGGGGATTTGGTTTCAAAGATGGTAAATATCTTGATAACTTTTAAATATTACAATGCTTGAAACTAGCGAGAGAGTATATATATAGTTTGGGGGAAATATTAGAACCTTTTTATTTAAAATACAGCACATTTCCTATATAACTTTTTACAACTTAAAAGCATAAATCTATTAACAAATTTATAAATTAATGATTTCATAAAAAGACTACTGAGCAAAACATGGAACAATGTAGTCACCTTTGTATTATTTCAACTATAATATTCCTGGCAACTGTACAGCAATTAATAGAGTACAGCTCAGGTTAATCATAATGGCATGCCATTGAGGACAATTTTATACATATAGTTGCCTTAAACATATTACATGACACTGTAATATTTTCAGACACGTTCATAAGGGACTGTTACTTACTCCGGATATGGTAATCAGCACAATAAAGCATATCAGCAGCGTGAATAAATTGGTATCCTGATCCTCTCATGCACAGCTCAGCTTCAGTGTAACCCAAGACAAGTGTTCCTCTGTTTGAGAGGTAAAATAAACAAGAAATTCATTGGTCATGTTATCTTCTGTGTTTCCACATTTACAATTTCACTCTAGGACATTATATCTTTATATATAATAACTTATCTTTTGCTTATGGCTACAAATTTTAGTTTCAGACTATCTTCTCCTAAACAAAGACCATGGAAATTAGTATGGCTAATGATGAATCTAACAGATTGTGCAGGTAAAACAAATGTTAATAAAAAGCTTATTACTGCATTTTTGAAGAGCAGGCTATGTTTTGCAGTGATAGTTACTCTACTTCTAGGGCTGAACATTAATATAGTATATCATCTTTATGAAACAAATTGTGGCATGTATTGTAAATGATTTATGAGTGATGAAATCATTTAAAAAGGATATATTGCATGAGTGGAAATAACTTATAATCTAAACAATATATTTTACTGCTATAAAAGTTTCACTTACTTGGCATCACAACCAGTAGGTGTAAAGTCTAGTTTGTGTTTGGTTCTAAAGATGAAATTTTTGGTTCGGATTTCCAGTATGGATGGTGGCTGAAGTGGAGTAGCTATTGCAAACAAAGCTAATTGAGGTGGTAGCACTGATCCATCTTTTCCTTTTTTGTTCTGTCCATGAAGATACTTTAGCCTCCCCTGGAAGTTCATTGCCTTAAAACAACAAAAACCAGTTCACTAAAAAATAACAATCTTTAAATCATTCTTTTAAAGGGCTCAATAATGGTTATTTCCAGGGTTCTTGATAATTCCAGATAAGTACCTAAGGCTGAAAGCTGCTACTTTAATTTTTTACCACAAGGAAACCCATTAAAACTATCTCAAAAGGGAGTATGAAGATCACCCTAACAGATAAGAAGCAAGGATAATTTGAACATGACCAATTTAGTAGCATAAAACAGTATTAACCAAGTCAAGGGATGGTTTTGAGATCAACAGGATAGCAGTACAGTGGGAAAAAGGCATTTAGAATTGCTTTGAGATAGTTTTCTAACTCAGCAAAATTACTTTCAGAAAACAGGCTTGGTAGTCTCTTTTGTGCCTGGTGGAGTAAGTGCTCTTAAGGTGATAGATAACTGAATGGACAGACCTTCTCCATCTGGGGTTATCTGGCCTATGCTGAAGCTAGTTATCCTACCTGGGAATTCAGATGATGACTCAATAATTGTTCTAACAGGCTCTAAATCCAAAGAAAGCAAGCATCCTGCTAATAGAGTTCTCTGATTTCCAGCCCCCCTTCCAAAAAACTCCTACAACTAGGCAAGTAGGTTTCATATTTCTTGCAATCTTTGTTAAAAATCTTAAATAATTTGACTATAGTACCTTCTAAAAACTCCATATTTAAGACCAAGCTCAAATATAATTATTTTCCTTAATAGTAAATGCTACAATCACAAATTTTTTCCTCTTACCAGAAAACCAGATGAATTATCCAGCAGACACCTTAGCCGGCATATGAAGCACCTCTCCATAAAAGATGAGTTTTCTGGAGGAAGCTGCTCTGGATTAAAGTAGACTGCTGGCTGTGAGAGACCACTACCTTCTGTAGGAATAATAGCAACAACGCAAACTTACTTTCCATTTTGCCTAAATCTGTGTTACTTTTTTTGTATTCAAAATGTAGACTATTTCAGAAACGGATCTAAAGAAAAAACTAAAACATATTGAATATATCAGTTTTACTACTTAGCACTTGACCTACTCAGTTTTGATTTCTATTGAGGTATCAGACTTCTTAAGTTTTTCATACCTATACATGCTAGTTTGCTTTACTATTTGGTACCATTTAAGCACAGAACATTTGATAAACCAGTGCCAATGGTGTACATTTATTCACATCCTTCTCAATGGTATGTTATTTTTATAAAATAGAGTATGGCAATGGCTGTCTTCTCTCAAAATATTCTTTAGACCACCATACTTTTTGTGCTTTGGCTTAAGCTTTCCATTTTCTTACTAATCTTTATCATATAGTTTTCTGCTTCCTTTCAGAAAATTGTACTGAAAAATCACCAATAGCCTCTTATAGTAAAACCACTTACCATCAATTCTTTGTCCAGAGTCTGTACACTGTGAAGGGTTTAATGACCAATGTAGCTGACGCTGAAACTCAGCTCTGTCTTCAGTATGAATAAGTTCATATACACTCTGATGTATAACATCAGACTAAAGAAAAAAGTATGCATTAAAAAAAAAAGATTACTAAGGTTGTATGAAAGCCAGCAAGATTAGTGGGTGCTTGTTAGCGGTGACAATGTAATTCAATTCAAATGACTGCAAAGCTACAAGAAGGTCACTCTGTAAGCCAAAAGGCAGCTGCCATGAACACTCTTGATTCAAGTAAGTCATCTCTCCATTCCTTAACTGCAACACATTAAGTTCTGCTTATTTTTATCCATTTATTGATCTTTTAATTTCTCCTTTCATTGAAATGCTGCCTAAATGTTCAGTCATCTTTAACTTCTCTAGGCTTACCTGCACTCATTTTGCATTTACTGTACTTTGACAGTTTCCTTCCAACAGACGCCATCAGAGTAAAAGAGTATGCCTCTATCACTCGACGCTCTCCTCCCCTTTCCTCCCAGCATTTGCTACAGTGCTAAATCATTAGTCCTTAAATCACCATTCTCCTAATTGTCTTTACTGCAACTCCTGGTAAAATATACATCATCTATCACACATGGAAAAAAAGTTTTAAACAAAAGAAAGTTGTTCATGATGACCCACTATATCAACTTCATTACCCATTAATAAGCTTACCTCTTAAAAATTTTAAGTGGAACTTAAAATAACACTCATGTCAGATATGAATGTTTCCTTAAAGAACAGTCAGAAAAAATTCATATGATAAGGAAGACTGGGAAAAAGCAACTTTTGATTTTTTAACTTTTATGAGTCATTATCAAATGATCATCAATGTACTTTATATAATTCATTAATTTCCAACTGGTTTTTCCATGGACATTAAATTGCAGTCTTCGTGGCAGTGGCCAGAGACCATTACTTTACTAATCTCCTAGCATTAAACCATCTCTATGCCAGTCATTATATAATACCAGTTTTCTGAAAGGCAGACTGGAGGATATACATTCCTTATAACAACCACCTTTAGAGGTTTGCATTGTGTTTAACATATGTATATAACAGTGTAGACAATGTTATTAAAACCAGCAACCTTGCAGTAACCCCAAAAAGAGCTAGAAATTCATTTCATGGACTCTGACCCACTGAATCAAAATCTCTAGGATTAAGTCCCAAAGATTTTATGCAATTTTACCAAGTTATTCAGGTGATTCCTATACACACTAGAATTTAAGAACTATTACTAATAGTTAGCATTCAAGTATGCTTCAAAACAATTTACAAATCCTATTAGAGATATTCTTGTCTCTCAAATTGCCAGACACTTTTCCACTCTACTTATCCACCATTCATTCAATAGTGTTAAACAAACCAGATATGTTCACTTCCTTTAAGGATTCCTAGCTTACAATACTTCCATCTCTTCTCCATGTTCCCTCTACAATTGTCGACCCATCTAAATCCTATACTTTCTTTAGGTTAAGTATCATTTTCTTCAGAAAAGTTATAAGCCAATTAAGTCAGAATTATGTCAGTGATTTTGCTTGTACCTTTAGATATCACTTTATTATAGTTGTCATATGGACTCCAATACCTGTAACTGATTTGATGGTAAATATTCTCTATTCCATTCCCATTCAAATCCTAGCTGCCCCTTACCTGAGAGTTTCTCATAGTAGTTTCTTAATAAGTGAAAGAAAAAAATACAATGTGAAGAATCACAATCATTTAAAGCAATTCTAATACAATAAGAGTATGTTAGCTGCAAATGTATCTTTTTCAATCTACAGCATTTACTTAACTGATATTTTATATAAACAGATTATTGTGTCCTTAATCTTCAAAAAATTAGTAACAAACCTATATTTACCTGCTGAAACCCCAGGTAATCCTGTATAGTAGAAGATGCATAAAATACCAAAGCATCTGTAGTGACAACCAATACAAAACCATTCAAAGCCTACAAGGAAACAACATTCCAAAATTAGTAATGGGATGAAATTCATTACTAATAAACACTATCAGTTGATGCTATTTTACTACTGAAAAATATTCTCTGAAAAGGTTAAAATTAGTACACCTTACAAATATAATCATAGCATACAATCTTGGAGAGAAATATCTTTTGTTTGGCTATGGAAAAAGCTTACAGCAAAATTTAATGCTCAATCCCATTAATTTTAAAAATGGTTTCCTACTCTTTCTCACTCTCTAGATCTTCCATTTTTAATTTACTGCACATTTTTTAAACATAAGCTGTATAAACACTAACTTGTCAAATATTTTTAGAACAGTATAAAAAATGTTGACTAAATAGATACTTAGAGAAATTTGATAGAAAAAATATGCAAAGATAATTCAAGCAATATGATTAAATTTGTTTACTATCAAAATCTGGACTACACATAAGAACAACAGCAAATACAGTCCACTTAAATTTAATATAATTACTAAATATGTGTAGGTTTAAAGCTGTCATTTTTTATGTGCTATTTTTATTCCATCTGTACTATGCTTTTTCCATTATATCTACTTTTGAACAATGTTATTTGTCTTCTTTTAGTTTGCAAGTTATACTCTTCTCTTTTGGCAGTTAGGCAGTCCAATGTTCACACCACTATACTCATCTTAAATAACTAAGTTGTTTAGATGTGGACAGGATTTCTGTCTGTCTCTTCTAATAGTGTATGGCCTTGGTTAATTTAGATACCCCTTTAAACTTTAGGGTTATCATTTGAAATACATTTTATTGTATGAATATATTGTATCATCTAACTCTGCCTAAATACATTTAACATGGTAATTATATATTATATTAAGATCTTTGTCCTCTATTATTAGTCACAAAGATTTACCCTGCTTGCCTGAAAAATGTGTAAACTGCAGTTGATAGTGTTATTTACTGCTAACTCAAAAATGAAGCTGCAGATTTTTTATCAGCATGGTAATAAATTGGACTGGATGGCTTTTTAATTATTTAGTTCATGTATTTTTATGTATTGGAACATTCTACTTTTATTGTTTGATTTTTTCTTTGTAAAGTAGTAGTAAAGTTAAGTTAATCTAGAATTTAAAAATTTTGATAAACTATTTTTTAACTTTTTATTTATGAGCTTTTTGTTAAAACCAGAGGAAAAGATTGCTCAACAAAAATTTAATCCAGGTTGAATATTGCATCTCTGGAAACGTACTCTATCAACCATTTACCCTACAGACATAATTACATGTTGAAAGTATTAAGTTAGATGCCATTAATGGCAACAGTATATAATGAAATAAGCCCTCTTCAGATATCTACAATATTTTTGGCCATCTACTTCATAAAGAAAAAAACAAAAGCATGGTCCTAAGCAAATCCTATGGGAGAGTAATCTATAAATGGTATCTGATATAATTCATACCTAGTGAATTCTTAAATACCTAAATGTTTACAATTTTTAAATAATTTAAAAACCCATTACTTTTGTGTTAGTATTCTTACTGTGGCTATACTGAAAATATTTTAGAAGTTAAAATTTATTGGCTGATAATACAAACCATTTGATCTTTCTAATTTAGCTTGAAAGTAGATCATTCATTATTACTTTATATAAATGTAATGCCTATGGTGTGTTTAATCACTTTCAGCAGCAATTACTAGAATGTTTTCCTATGGCCTGAATAAAGACTCATTTTGTTTCAGTTAACATACACATAAAGATGTTCAGATAAGACGAGGACTTATGCTTGCATATATTAAATTTAACATAATGCAAGCAAAAGTTAGTTTTCATTATTAGGGATTTGAACACAATTACAAAATTATAATAAATTACTGGCGTTACTACAACTTATGGCTATCTTTTTGTCATAATGCAAACCAAGTTTTTCACTCAGCGGAACTGAAAGTTATCACATAACAGTGACAGCACATACAGAACACATCTTCATGTTGTTTCTTTGACAAAATAAATGAGCATTTCATCTGAACCAAATATTACATCAGTTTCAAGAGGAAAAAAAACTTGTTCTTGAGCATAAACTAGGATTAACAGTTGCTAAAGTCAACTGTATGTTAAGGCACACAGAGCTGCCAAGAGTTTTAAGAACACATTTAAAAATAAATCTCAATTTTGAACTAGTAAATGAGTACAATTACCTATATTCTTTAAAAAGGTATATACACATCTGAAGTTTTAATGAGAAACTTTAAGTTATTCCAATTCATGCTATTTGAAGCACCAACTGATAAGCAGACATCTAATTACTCATCTTCATACACTTCCATTTTTTCATGTACATTAGTCTCCCTTTATCCACAGGGGATATGTTCCAAGACTCCCAGTCTTGAAACTGAGTATAGCACTGAACCCTATATATGTAATGTTTTTTCCTATACATACATACCTATGATGATAAATTTAAGTTCTAAATTAAGCACAGTAAGACTGACAGTAACTAAATAGAACAACTATAACAATACAAATAATTTTATAATTATGCTTACATAGTAGGAAAATTATGTGACTGTGTTCACTCTCAAAATAATCATTGTAACTCATTTTTTAACCAGTTGACCATGAAATAAGGAATAAAGGGAGACCACTGTACTAGCATTACAATGCTACTGAAATTCAGATAAAAGTTGCCTGAAACGCTGGGTAACTCCTAAATAAATAGGGAATATTTACAAGACTGCTTGACATTTCCCATTTACGACTTCCCTGATTATAAGCAATTATATTTACTAAAATTTACCTGTAATAAGAATTCTCCTTCTTGTAAGATCAGGTCTTCCCCCAATTTTGTTTGACAGTTATCCTGGACACCGTTTCTGTCAGGTGGAGGGGATTTTAATGCAACTATGGAAAAAAAAAGGGGGGGGAACAATGATTATATAATAGGTAGCTCTTAAATTCAGCAAATTCAAAAGGCTATCACAGAGAACCCTGTACATGAAACAAAGAGACAATGTGACATAGTGGTGTCTACTGGTACTTTAATGAATAAGTAATCTTTTGCTTTTATGCTGTTCAATGTGAGCTGACAGATTGTTAAAATATTTTTGAACTAAATTCACTATATGATTTTTGGCATATCACTTAGATTTTTTTGGACTCCGAAATATATGGTTGATACCAAAAGAAAAGGGTAAAGGTGGGAGGAGGAGAGGAGATGAATTTAATGGTTGGAAATGGAGCTACAGCTTTGGTGATGGGCACAGTAAGGCATATACATATAATCAAGGTGTGAAGCTGTACTCATAAAATTCATCATCTAAACCAAATGGTTAATTAATAAAGTCTTATTTTAAAAAACAGGCATTTTGAAGAATTGTATCATACTTCTAAACTCTTCCCCTTTCCATTTATGAGAATAAGGCTCTTCAGAATATAAACTGTAAAAAATATCTATATGAAAATGTGCAAACATCAGTGAAATGTGGAATATAGAGAAACAAAACAAAGTGAAAACCACACTGATAATAATGAAAACTTGAGACAATCAGAAGGGGAGGGTTAGTGGGGTGGAAGTGGGGGAGTGAAGGGGCCCTGTGTAACATGGTAGAGGATTGTTGGGGCACTGGTGGTGGGCAGGGTGTGAAAGTATGTATTTGTAGAAGTTTGAACCTCTAAACCCAGGAGTAAATGCAGGTGTAAACCTACTTTACCTCAATAAACATTTTTGGACTCATAAATATATGACCTCCCCTGGTGGTGCAGGGGTTAAAGTCTCAGTGATATGAGGCTATTGCCAGCCACCACTACATGAGTTTGATCCCCAGCCAGGGAGCAAACCCACATGGCGCAGCAGACCTCTCCTTTCTCACCCACTGCTCCCCTCAGCAGTGAATTTCAGTAGATCCACCAGTTCTGCTCCCCACTCTGTCTCTGGTGAATCCTCTTACCTCCTGTACCTCTGGCCTACACTCCAGTTCATTTATGAATAAATATTAAAAAAAATAATTTGGGGGGAAAAGCAAAATATATTTCCATTAAGTTTAGATCCTCTTGGATTAGGATAAAAATTAGGTTCATGTTAAATTTATAAGTAAACTTCTATCCAAGAGCAACTACATGCTTCTATTTTGCAAGTCTGCTTTTGTTTTTGTTCCATTATAGTCTTTTACAACTGTCTATAAAAAAGATTTGCACATTTACTTTTATGCTTAGTCCTAGGCATTACTTCTTTATTAATTAGAATCTGTGGCATCTTCATTATTATAGTCAAATTGCTATTACATAAAGGAAGGTCTGCTGGTACAGCGGAATGCTGACTGTGACTTGAGAGAGCACATTTTCTCCAGAAGAGAGCACATATCTCTTCTCCCTTCCCACTTGTCCCCTCTCATTTTATACACACACACACACATATATTTTCTCATTGAACATCACGTTATTTCACAGAAAAACTAGAAGAACCTCCCAACCCTTCCTAAAAAAATCTTAAACATATTTTTAAAGTCCTTACAGTGTGATCAAAGAACTTTGCTTAAAATTAAGTATTTAGGCAGCTACTATAAGCTTATAAATTTACATATATAAATCTGCATATGTGTTTATAATCAGGGGGAAAGCACAGCTGAACAGAAATAACATAGCTACCACTTACCTACTTATCATTTTCCAAAGTACTCTCAAATACCATCACACTTAGCCTGTGGATACTGGTATCTGACAAAATTGAGTTCAAATCGCAACTTAACACTAAATGAGTGACCTCCAAGAGCCTGTCCCCTGATACATGAAGGGGTGACTGAAAAAAACACCACCAAATAGCCACCCTACAAGGTTGCTGCAAAGAATAATGAAAATATACATGAAGTTCCTGGCCTAGACTAGCTCAAGAGCAGTCAGTAAATGGCAGTTATTAGTACTTCCCATAGCCCTCGGATGACCTTGTCATAAAAAGTAGAGCCTTTTAGATATCATTACAACATCCTCCCATTTTTCTGATCTCTATTTAACCTGTAATGCTTAAATACACCATCTACTATAGCAAAACCAACTTGGACATTCCTTTAAAAATTTATTTCAAAAAGATTTTTGGGCCTCCCCTGGTGGCACAGCGGTTGAGGGCTGGGCTGCGAAGCTGCCTGCAGCCTCTGCAACACCGGTTCGATCCCCGGCTGCCGGTGAGGGTCCCACATGGCGCGCAGACCTCTCCTGCTGCCCGCTGCTCCCCTCCAGCAGTGTACTTCGGTCCTTCTGCCTGTTCTGCTCCCCGCTCCGGCTCTGGTGAATTCTCTCACCCTCCCACGCTTCTGACTGTACCCAGTGCTTGTATAAATAAATAAATAAATCTTTTTTAAAAAAAAGATTTTATGTGCGAAAGATAAGCTGGCTCAGTGAAAAACTAGAGCTTTACTACTAACTAGATTTTCTCTGTTTGAGCAAACCATCACATAAAAGCAATTTTCATGTTTGAAGTATATTTTCTGGAAAATCATCAGTGCAGGTGTCACACTGAAATCTTATGCCAAGTTCTAGTCTGTGCAGTACTTCAAATATACCTCTTTGAAAAAAGAAGCCCAAAGCTTGGCCTCTGAATATAACAATTTCCAAAGGCCAGATTTCCTCAGCCAAAAAAATAGCTTGAGGTAAATTAATTGATTTAACAGTTAATCATGCCAAAAGGAAACACTCTTCTCTCACTGAAGGTGAAAGAAAGGTTCCTCCCCCCACTTTTTATTCTGTAAATTTGTTTACTTTCTAATGGCCAATTTGCTTGAATGCATTGAATCCTCACAATGTCAGGGTTAACTACACTTCAGTATTGAGTTACACCATATAGCAATAAGATTTCTCTATTTAAAAAGAAAATAACAAAATCAAACCCATTACATTATGAAAGTGGCAAAGTAACCCTAAAATAGGAATAGCTATTAATGTTGTCAAATTTAAAATGTCTAAATTAAATTATTAGGAAGCTTTTTTTTTTTTTTAATTAATTAATTAATTAATTTGTTTGTTTGTTTTGATTTTCTTTATACAAGCACTGGGTACAGTCAGAAGCGCGGGAGGGTGAGAGAATTCACCAGAGCCGGAGCGGGGAGCAGAACAGGCAGAAGGACCGAAGTACACTGCTGAGGGGAGCAGCGGGCGGCAGGAGAGGTCTGCGCGCCATGTGGACCCTCCTCTGGTGGCCGGGGAGCAGCCGGGGATCGAGCCGGCGCTGCAGAGGCTGCGGGCAGCTTCGCAACCCAGCGCTCAACCGCTGCGCCACCGGGGAGGCCCTAGGAAGCTTTCTTAATCAATGACTTGATGACAGTTCCAGCCACAGTGACTGGACCACTGAATAGCTAAACTGAAATGGAAAAAGGCCATCTCAGAGTTAGTTGCAGTTTGTTTGTGGACAGGTATGGGGATATTAGACAGTATTAGACATCAGACAGACTCTGCCTTTAAGTAGGATTGATAAGATAGGGAAACAAGGAGCCATAAAGGAGCTCCAAAAACATTAAATACAAAAATGGGATTTAATTAAAATAACCATAGGAACTTGAAAGAAAAAACAAACACTTTCTGAAGTGTTTACAGTTCTCTGCTGGAAGGACAACAGTTCACATGTATAACTATTGCTCAAATAGGACAAATACCAAAGGTTTTGCCAAAAATAAATGTCTCTGTTCTCCTGTTTAAGGTCGGTAAATATCACTAAGATCAGGTAAGACTTTAGTACTGTACAAAGATAAGCTCAGGAGGGGTTTATTTCCTTCCCTATTCTTTATCTAAAAAAATACTAATATGACTTTGTAGAAAACTTATTTCATATCTTGGTGCCTTCACCCACATTATATAAATTTTTGTCCATTTTCTCTATTATTGACCTCATACCTACCACCCCCTTGCTTTTTAAAATTTATTAGATGATGTATTAGTATTATTTATTTTCATGTTCATATTTTCTGCCTTGAATAGAAAGCAGAAGGTCAAAGGTGTACTGTTATCAACACTATTTTGTACCATCTGAGTGCTCTAAATAATTTCCTTAGTAATATGTGATAGTTACTGGGCACACACTATGTATCAAGCAGTTCCCATATATTATATTCTTACAGCTTATTTAATTTACTTGTCTTTGAGACTGGAATTGTTGACTTTTCAATAAACCAGGAAACTGACACTTAGATAGGTTAAGAAACTTTTCCAAGGTCACAGAACTTTAAGTAGTAGAGCTCAGATAAAAACCTAGGTAGCCCTACCCTAAATGGCAAGCCAATATTAACCATCTACCAGACTCCTCCCACTATGCTAACTACCTTTGACCTTTAGTTTCCTCATTTTTAAAAGAGGACAATGATACTTCTGGAGAAAATTTCTTCTGAGGGCTAAAATTAAAAAGTAGAGTACCTGGGGAATGCCTGGAATCTGTAACTGACCATCAAAAATAGAGATAATGGACTGAATACAGGGTTTACACATCCTCAAACCACTAGGAACAGATGACAATAATGGGGAGTCATATTATGTAATATGATACTATTATGACTACATTATAGCTATAAGAATTTTAAAAGTACTTTAAAACTGTAAGTTGTCATCAAAATTATATGAAACTTGTTCCATTACACCTCTAGAATAAATGACTTTCATAAAAACATTATCTGCGAATAAGTCACCATCTGATTTTGCTACAAGTATCTGTTGTACTGAACAGAAGAATACAAAATCACTACCTTGAAAGGAGATATGCACTCCAATGTTCAGGGCAGCACTGTCTGCAATAGGTCAGTTATGGAAACAACGCAAAGAGAATGATAAATACCAGAAGATTTCAATCATATGTGGAATAGAGAGGAAAAAACAAAGGAACTGATAAGACTAATCCAAAACAAATCCTAGAAATAGGACCACAGAAT